GAATGCTGTATTGATAAAAACCACCAGTCTGTCACGCACGAGTTACCTGTGTTCCTGTGATCAACAGATAATAGCGCGATAATTATACGAGGTGTATGTATGGCTTACCTTGATTTTAATTATGCAAGCCAAAGGTTGAGTGTATTAGGCTAATGCATACGCATGAATGACATGTTAATTGTTTTGAAGCTGGGGTATGTTTATCTTGATAATCCCTCTTTAATGCTATGTGTAATATTCACGCTTGCATAGTTTGTGCATATGAAAGTGAAAACTATGAACATCAAAGTGAAACAAAATTCTGTAATTTAATGCAATTAGAATTCATTTTTCCTATATGAGCGTGCAGGATTTACCATCGCCAGTACACACCATCATGTGAGCATGTGTTGCAGTGAAAACTTGTGCTATAGTGCCCTGTGATTCAATGTTCAAAAGTCACAAAAGTGCTGGTTTCTTCTTTTGCATTTGATTTCATTATGGTAAAATAATTTTCTTTTAACTGATTATACATATATGAACATGTTTTTCCAATAAAAAGACGTCTCTGTATGAGTGAAAAATTCCCAAATGGACGTAAAACAACATATAATTTATCCAATAAAAAAAAATGTATATTTCGTTTTGTTATTCTGACAGAGACCCGTTTGAAATTTACGATGCATAGACGATATCCAGTTATGTATACTTGGGAATCGATGCTAGCAGTTGACTTGCCGGGTTGGTAGAAGGATTATACTTCTGTGCATATTATACAACGTTTTTATTTTGTGAATTATAAAGAGGATGTAAAAATCTTTTTATGCTAAATACATGTACAGTACCAACCAGACCCAACCTGACACAAAGCAGTCCCAGAGCAGTCCCGGGGACTGCTTTCTGGGACTGCTAAAGCAGTCCCAGAGCGGTCCCAGAGCAGTCCCACAGCGGTCCCAGCAGTCCCAGCGGTCCCAGAAAGCAGTCCCAGCAGTCCCAGAAAGCAGTCCCAGCAGTCCCAGTGGGCGGGGTTAATTAATTTAATGGGCGGAGCTTATTCAGAATGAGATTACCAATAAACAATGTAACTATATAAAAGGCAGTTGAAATTGATGAGCAATTCTTTCTGAGTAGTATCAACAAATATTTACAATTCTTACGCGACAGTCATTTCTGAACTGTTAAGAAAATCACAGTACGCGTATAGAAAAAATTATAATTATTGAATGAAGAAGACGTTCACACCTATTAATAACATGAATATTTAAACACAATTATTTGGTATATTAATTTTTAACCAAAATAAACCAATTTCTTTATTTTTTGTGATTGATATTGGTTTTCATATTTATTTTTTACATAGAAAATTAAACTTGAATTGTTTATTTTATACCAGAATTAGCTTTAAATAGATAATAATAATTATAGAGCAAGGCCGATTCCCATACTATACTCTGAATGCATTTTTCTTAAGTATTGGAGCTTTTGAAAAATTCTTTGTTAAACATTGCCGAGTATTATATTTCAGTCATGATTATTTTCAATGACTTTCCAATTTAATTATCTTTAGATTCTCAGTTTTAAGTGTTTTATTATATAAATGTTCGAGTGTGCATCTGTAAATCACGCAAATGGACCCCTCAGATTATGTTCAAAATTAATTAATCCCGAAATAAATTTATACACAATTATTGAAACTAAGATTTTTTGCAGGACATAGATTGAAATTGGTGTCAGTGTTGACCAGCGTGTTCAGTGATGTGTAACACTGATACCCAAATAACATGCATTGACTTTCTGCTTATTATGCCCAAAGGCGATTGAAACCTCAGGTGTTGACACCATTTTATACAATCCCATTGTATTAACCGGCCAGGTAAACACAAACAAAAGAAATAAGAAACAAGTCACAATTCCCGATATTTTCAAATGTTTATTTTTTAAATAAATGTACTCTTTTAATGACTTGTTTATAAATTAAAAACTAATTGTTGTTCACATTGTTTATGTGACAGAAGAATGGTAGAATAATTTTATTTCATGGTCATTAAATAAATTATTAGGTTTTATTTGAGGGTGGTAAAAAATAGCACGGAGTGCTTTTTTTAAAGCATGGTATTAGCTTTTTCAAATAAGAAAAAATCCAGTACAGTACGTTCCTCTTAATACATGTATCTTACTAAATGACAAGTTTGTTTGTTTTTTTTTTTTTTTTTTTTTTTTTTTAAATAGTGCTAATGCAAACTTTGAGTACATATGTAATTTGACAGCATTAATTTATTAAATAGGCCTAGATAATTTTTTTTTTCAAACATCTGTATTGAAGTTTAATTTAAGGGATAAAAATTATCCCCTGACTTCCCTTTTTAACTACTTTTATTTTCTTAAAATTAATTCTAGACTATAATTGTGTAAATTTACAGACCTCTGAAGACATTTAGTAATTACATGTATAACTATCTCTATTTATTTAATTTTTGTAAGAAATTAATACTTGCTTTTTTATATTTGCTTTTATCTTAAACACCTCTCTGCAGAAAGTAAACAAAACAACAACAAGGAGCTGCAAATTCAGAATACACAAGGGGCGGAGCTATCATGTCACTCAGAACCTTTTTCATGCATGAGTGAACAAAGCAGTCCCAGAAAGCAGTCCCAGGGACTGCTGGGACTGCTGGGTCTGCTTTCTAGAGCAGTCCCACAGCAGTCCCAGAGCAGTCCCATAGCGGTCCCAGAGCAGTCCCACAGCGGTCCCACAGCAGTCCCAAAGCAGTCCCGGGGACTGCTTTCTGGGACTGCTTTGGTGTCAGGTTGGGTCTGGTTGGTACTGTATATTAAAGAAATCTTATACAGAATTTCAAACAAGAAGGAATTGGACATGTTTTTATTATTAAGTTCATGTTCACTGCACTAAGTTTATTTGAAGTTCATTTGAATTATGACCCTCGATATGTCAAACCCCTGGATATCTCGAAGTTCATCAACGGTCCCGTCAACTTCGAGATAATGAAGTTTAACTGTATTACAGAGGAAATTCTGGTGAAATATAAAAGGGTATTGCACAAAGGTGCAAATGTTTTGTTGCATCTGTGAGTGGTTTATACTATCAATTAGAATTAAGAGTACATGATTTTGTGGCACGAAAGTAATATATTGTGAACTGTGCACCTTGGTTCTTTTTTTAGATCGTAAATACGATCTCACACATTGTATTTGTCATAAAATGCACAGAAGTAAAGAAAGTTTAAAAGAAAAAAAAGAAAAATAGTTGAAAGAAGAATGAGAATGATCAAATACTTATTAGATTATAAGGAAAAAATTAAAATGATACATGTTATGGTTAAAATACAAAGAAGAAGATACTGTTTTGGCTTTATTGTGCCCTAAACATTAAATGTTTTCAAAAAGTGTTGAAATTGGCATAAATATGAGTTGATTATTTGAGTGTGATAATTCATGAAAGAATATGGCATGAAGGAGGACCAATCTTGAAATATGACGTTATTAATTTTGTATTTTTCTGTAAGTTTTAAGCAGAAAAAGCCTCAAAATTACTTATTCCATTGGTTATTTTCCTTGAGAAAATCATGTCCACAGCCATCGTCCATTTCAATATTCGAATATGTTGTGTAAAATTCTTTGAAAAATCACACTTCTCAAAATCTTTGTGGGCGATGCATGTGGTCTATATTATCTGATCAGAAAGAAAATTTCACTGAAAATTGATGTCTTCTGCGACTTTTTAAGAAAATACAGGAAAATGCAAAGTTTATGACATCACAATTAGCATTTAGGAAGTCAATTGAGAAAAATGATTTGTTTGATCTTAGTGCATGGAGTTTCAACATTTCAGAAAGCATGAATTTTAATTTCATCACTTTCATATGTTCGAAAAATGAAGAGCCAGATTTGTATTGAAACTGTACCTTGTTCTTTAAATATGTATATGCTTCAGAACTGTTCCACAGTAGACATAATTACTGATAATCGAACTATGGTATCTAACTTTCAAATATTTTCTGATAATTGCTTATTAGCTGGAGTTTAACAGTGAAATGTGAAATCTGACCTGTTCTTGCTGACCTTGCACAATCATGTTAAATTGCTCATGCATATCAATTAGCACGTGGATATGATGCAATCAGCCAAGTTTTGAATCAGAATGTACCAAAATAATTTAAAATAATATCCTTTATTCTTTAAATTTATTGCATCCATTTGGATGCACATTTATTGAAATAATGCATCCTGAGCAAAATTAAGGATGCAGAGCAAAATGAATCACTGGGATGATACATCTAAGGATACACACTACCAGGCTTGCTTTGGATGCTGAATATGACCTACATTTTCTGCATGAGTGATCAGGTTAAAGTTTTTGGAGCAGGTTCATTTTAAAGTAACTATAAGCCCTAGGATGACCAAACTTGCGTGGATGATACATCTAAGGGTGCACACTACCAAGATTGCTTCGGATGCTGGATTTGATGTATATTTGGACCTTTTTTGGATGCTGGATCTGACCTATAATATGCAGATGAGTGACCAGATTAAAGTTATTGGAGTAGATTTATTTCCAATTAACTATATGGCTTACCTGAATAAAACTTGCATAGATAATGCTCACTTCGAAAGTTGCTTCAGATGCTGAATTTAACTTACCGTACATTTTCCAGATGAGTGACCTTGTGAAAGTGTTTGGAGCAGGTTCATTCCAGTGTAACTTCAAGCCCTACCTCTACCAAACTTTCATGAATGGTGTATCAAGGGATGGACACTCTCAGACATGCTTCTGGTGATTGAGAAAAATGAACAAACTTGTATTCTTTGGACAGTAGTACATTGGATTTAAACTCGATAGTTGGTGTTCTCTTTCAGGACAGTTTTTTTCCAGTTTTCTGTCTGTTGTTCCCCTAAAGAGATATCCTTGTGCTCAAGACTAGAACTAGCTGCATTGTAAAAATCTGATGGAAGATGTCCTTTTTCTTCTCTTAATCTAGACACTTATTTACTTTTCAATTTAGTTCTTCCTCGACCCACACAGTGCCTTATTCCACTGCTGATCTTGTGTATGGTGTTGAAACCAGTCAATCTGACATAGTTGAAGGGAGATGCAATAGTTTTGTTGATGTAGCTGGAAGAGAATCAAGAGTCTCATCTTGTGAACTAAAAGAATCAGATTACAGACATTCAAGTGGCAGAGGAAGACCTGGAAAATCTGTATCTATTGAAAAAGGTAGGTCATTTCATAGAATATAACTGGTTCCTATTCATAAAATATGTGTATTGAAATATATTTCCTTAATTTAATACAATGTGTGTAATTTCTACGCAGCTTAGGAAATGTCATTATTTAAACATCCTTCACCCTGGACCAAGATAGTGCTACATCTTTAAGTCTAGTTAAATCACAAGTTTAGCTTTTAAAGAAAGCATAGAGAGTCAGCCAGTGGATTTTTTTTTAGAGATAATGTTTAAAAGCATTAGAAAACCAAAATTTTTGTTGAAGGAAAGATGATTTCAGCCTTATCTTTAGCTGATTTGGCCAGTTGACACCTATGTCTTGCTAGTTTTTCAGCATGGGAGTGGAGAGTTTGGGGTTAAAACGATACCATGCATGCAGGTTCTTGCATTATTTTGTGAATTGATTGATTGATTGTATGTTGTTTTACGTCCCATTCGAGAATTTTTCACTCATATAGAGACGTCACCATATATTGGTGAAGGGCTTCAAATTTTGACCTTTACTCGGCACTCAGGGCCATTGAGCAGTGAGGGATCTTTATCGTGCCAACGCCTGCCGTGACACGGGGCCTCGGTTTTTAAGGTCTCATCCGAAGGACCCGCAACTTTCACTTCAAAGTGCCGAACACATGGCGAAAGAACAGTTGCTACCCATTTTTTATCGACTTGGGTCTGTCGCGGCTGAGATTCGAACTCACGACCTCCCGATCACGGTTTTGTGAATTGAAGACAAAAACGAAAAAGTTTAATTATTTAATTTCAAATTCACATAGCATAATTTCATTAAAAGTAAGTATCCGTTCACATCAGGCTTATCTAGGATTTTATTAAAAGGGGGGGTGTTTGCCACAAAGACATTCAGATAGATTTCAAAACCCCCTACACTAACCTCACACCCCATTTACACTACTTTTGCATTAATATGTTACATTTTGTACCAAGTTTTACAATTTTCTGTTAAGTTGTTTTTTTTTGTTGTTTTTTTTTGACAACTTTCGTTGATTAAAGACTTTCATAAGTCTGAATCCCCTGGACCACTACCCCTCTGGATCTGCCCTATAATGTTGTCAAAGACATTAACTCAAACTTTACATTTTTACTTAGGGAAAAGGTTAACTCAAAGAGGTTGAAGTTTTCACATCGGCATTTTCTTCCAGAGGGAGCCAGACTTGGTTATTTTCCGCTTTAAAGCAGATTTCTGCTATTAAAGTTTGCTCAATCTGCTTTAAAATTTGTATTCCGCATTTTAAAAAAAAATTCTTTGGATGTTTTCGTATTTAACCGTTTTTATCTGATAAATCTGTGTTAGCTCACTTTATACCTACTTTATTGATGTCATGTAACATGCAATTTCATTGGTTCATGGATTTTAGTAAAATTAATTCAGCCATTTGTTGGAGGTTTTACTAGAAACATCGATCGCGGCAATGGATGCGAAAATTGTAAAATGTGAACAAAGTTTAGGGATTCATAATACATGTAGGAAATTGTTAAAGATGCTGTTCAAAGATATATATTTAGTTTTGCTGTGTTTTTCTACTAAGCCAACTGTGAAATTGATTTGAAAGCCATTTTTGTGCATACTCATGCGTAGAAATATACACAGAGCAACTCGCACTGAAGTGACGTCACAAGGAGGCTACAGAGACGTTAATAAAAATATGAAGATATAGAGCAGTGAAAAATTCAAACATTGAGTATAGTTTTGGTGGATTTAAGCATGTAAAATGTAAATATAAGGAATGTTTGTAGCTCAGGTGAGCTTTTCTGATCATTTTGTATGTAGTCCGTCTGTCTGTCTGTCCGTCTGTTTGTAAACTTTTCACATTTTCGACTTCTTCTCCAGAACCACTTGGCCAATTTCAACCAAACTTGCCACAAAGTATCCTTGGATGAAGGGGATTCAAGTTTGTTCAAATGAAGGGCCGCACCCTCTTTCAAGGGGAGATAATTAAGAATTAGTGAAAAATTAATAGCATCTTATAAAAATCTTCTTCTCAAGAACCACAGGGCCAGGAAATATGATACTCATTTGGAAACATCCTCAGGTAGTGTAGATTCAAGTTTGTTCAAATCATGACCCCCGGTGGAAAGGCGGGGTCACAATGGAAGATCAAAGTTTTATATAGAAATATACAGGAAAATTCTTTAAAAATCTTCTTCTCAAGAACAGCAAAGCCATGATGAGTCATATTTATATGCATCCTCAGGTAGTGTAGATTCAAGTTTATTCAAATCATGACCCCTGGGGGTAGGGCGGGGCCACAATGGAGGATCAAAGTTTTACATAGAAATATATAGGAAATTTTTTTAAAATCTTCTTCTCAGGAATAGCAAAGCCCTTATTGGTCATATTTATGTGGAAGCATCCTCAGGTAGTGTAGATTCAATTTTGTTCAAATCATAACCCCCTGGGGGTAGGGTGGAGCCACAATGGAGGATCAAAGTCTTAAATAGAAATATATAGGAAAATATCTTCTTCTGAAGAGCTGCAATGCCATGATTAGTCATTTTGATATGGAGGCATCCTCAGGTAGTGTAGATTCAAGTTTGTTAAAGTGATGACCCCCAGGGATAGGGTTGGGCCACAATGGGGGGTCGAAAATTTTACATAGGAACATATAGGAAAATATCTTCTTCTGAAGAACAGAAAATCATGTTTAGTCATTTTGATGTGGAAGCATCCTCAGGTAGTGTTGATTCATTTTTTGTTCAAATGATGACCCCCGGGGGTAGGGTGGTGCCTAATGGGGGATTGAAAGTTTTACATAAGAACATATAGAAAAAAAATTCTTCTCAAGAACAGAAAAGCTTTGTTAAGTCATATTGATATGGAAGCATCCTCAGGTAGTGAAGATTCAAGTTTGTTCAAATGATGACCCCTTGGATAGGGAGGAGCCCCAATGGGGGATCACATTTATACAAAGGAATATATGGGAAATTTTTTTTAAAATCTGCTAAAGTACAACAAAGCCATTTGTTATATTGACATGCAAGCATCATCAGGTAGTTTAAAATTCAAAAACCAGGATTTTGCACCATTTACTCCACAGCTTCTGTGGGCCTAGGCAGCCCCCAGACACCCTGCCTATTTGGGGTCGTCTTTAAATCCACTTTTTTCATTTGACCTTAGAATCATGTCTGGGGAGCTTTGCAAACTTCACTAATGGAAGTGAAACTTGCGGAGTGCCCTCTGGTAGAAATTGCACAGTCTCGGTCAACTGCATCCAGGCAAAGGAATAGACACCCTTATCCTTAACAGCCATACTGAACCCCCTAAGTATGATTATGAATAAACGACAGTTGCAATACAATTTCTTGTAACTTTTAGAATATAAAAACTAAATATTTACTGAACAACACTGGCATCATGTAATATCATAAACGTGCACGTGTAAGCTTTGTTAAAGCCTTTACTTTGCGTTATATTTTATATTTCAGTCAATTAACTTTTCTAATTTTACCTATAACTACATGTAATCTTTTACTTGACATTTGAAATAATGAAGAATTTGAAAACAGAATAAAACACTTTTACTTTATTACCATACTTATCATGCTTATAATTATAAAATTACAGGCCTATAAATTCCAGAACCTGAATTTCCATAGCCTAATAGTCTAATTTAATGATAAACAGACAAACAAATAAGGATTCAAATATAAAAAAAAAAGAATGTAGCAGGTGAAGCCTGCTCAGTTCAATTCAGCACAGGAATTCCCTCCTATGGAGCACCCGAGAAGTTGGTATTATAAAAAGAGGGTAAAAATTAAAATTTAAAAGAGTGAAGTGATAAAAAACAGTGAAAACTAATGTAATATTGTGCAATAAAAATAAAATTACTGGAAGGAGTGATAGACAAACTCAACTTTTAAACTGCTGTGTCCGTTGCATGCCTTTACAAATCATGTTAGTCTATTTGGTAATTAACATTGGGACCGAAATGCTTTTTTAAAATGAAAATGAAAGTAAAACCGACAAAAACTGAACAACTTCAAAATCTGAAATAATCCAGTATTTATGCTGCAGATTTGAATACACATGTAAAATAGATTTAAGATACTTTAAAAAAGAGTTTCAACTGATGAGCAAAACATTATGTAAAATGAATTTATACAATTTTATGCTTCTTGCATAGAACACACGTTTTATGACTAGATGCAAACCAGTTAAATTTCTGCAAACCAGATTATAAAACTTTTGAAAGTGCAAACTAGAAAATTTCAAAATAGGCATTTTTTTTCAAAGAAATCAACACCAAAGGCCTTCCTGTTTTAAGCTGTTATTACATTTTATTAGTATATGTGTCAAAATAGCGATTTCGTTGTTTAATCAATATTGATTTTATTGAAACGAAATCAACAGGAGTTACTCTACGTCCACCTCCGAGAATTGCTTGCACCTGTTAACCAAAGTGGTACCAGTCTACCTCCCAGAATTCAAGAACACGCAAGTGCATTTGAAGTTCTTCGTAAGATAATTAGTCAGCCCATGGGCTGACTAATGAAAGGGCTTTGCAGAGATATGGTGAGGTCTTTGGGAGCAATTAAGAAATGCAATGGCAGAGCATGCACAAAATATACGTGTATGTAGCAATTAAGGTTTTGATATTTAACAATGGCATTGACATCATATCAGAGTCATTAATAGCCACTGGGTAAGAAATAGTGAAACTTATGTGGAAGGTTCTTGAGGTAGTTTAGATTCTAAATTGTTCTAAGTCGCCCGTGTGGATCAGTGGTTAGAGTATCTGCTCTAGAGTCGCAGAGTAAGGAGCTGATCCTTACATTGCGGGTTCAAATCCACTGTGGGACATGGAGAAGTCTTTCGGATGAGACTGTATAAACTGAGGTCCAGTGTCACAGTAGGTGTTGGCATGAAAAAGATCCCTCACTGCTCAATGGCCCTGAGTGCTGAGTATAGGTATAAATTTGCAGCACTCCACCGGCAAGTGGTGGCGTCTCCATATGAGTGAAAAATTCTTGAGAGGGATGTTAAACAACAAACAAACAAACAAATTTTTCAAATCATCACAACAAGGAATCAAAGCTTTACATTGAAATATATAGGAAAAATCCTCTTCTCAAGAACCACTGGGCCAAAAAGGTGAAACTTGTGTGAGAGCTTCCTAGGATAGTGTAGATTCTAAATTGTTCAAATAATGGCCCTGGGGGTAGGATGGGACACAATAAGGAATCAAAATATTACAAAGGAAAAAATGTGATGAACAGCAGGGACAAAGTGACTCAGGTGAGTGTTGTGGTCCATGGGCCTCTTGTTTTACCTTGACCTTTACTTTGACCTCTTTTTTTGTGTAATGTGCATTAAGTTCAGTGTTAAAGAAACTAATCAATACATTTTCATCAAACTTCAAACATTAATACAAATGTACATGTTCCATTTCTAATGAACCCTGGGCAGGGCATTGATGTCCTATGGACATAATTCTAGTTTGAATATTTTATGTCCTTAAAGATTTTATATCCTTAAAGACAGATACCACAAAAATATTTTCTCATCTCCCACACAGAAGAGTTACCAGTACATTGATATTTTTTTCAATATCTTGAAAGATTAATCTAATTAGAAAATAAATTTTATTTCTAGAATATGTTCCCAGAAACTGTACAGTATCAAAATTTTGTATATTTCTAAAACTTTTCAAAACATATACTGGACTTAAAAGTTACCTTTTCCCACTTTTCACCACATTATTATGTTTTGTCAAGCATTAAAATGTTGTTTAACTAGGTACAAGGGTTGTTCGGAAAGTTCGTGGACTATGCCAATCTTCATTATACTATCTTCAGGAAAGTTAAAATGAGCACATTATCATATGTAAAAATATTTATTTTGTTTAAGTGTGAATTTTCATTGCATGTGATTTAATAGAATTCATGTTATTCAATTTTAAAATCAACATGTTTTTTAACCACGGAGCAAAGTCAAAAACACTGTAATGTCAAAAACATACTGACATTAGGTTCTCAAAAATACTATCCCTATACATTTCACACAGTATTGCCCAATACCAGTGCACTCATTTAAAATGTTTTTCTATCACTTGAAATCTATTTTGCTAACAATTGTCCCAGTAGCATTATTTTGTTTGTCATTGTTATATTTTTTCACTGCATAAGTGTGTTTTCACAAGATCAGCATCTGTGAAGCGCCAGACTCTTAGCATGACGTTACAAACTTTTCAATGTTTACAGAGGATCCATTTTCTCAGAGATCACCATTGTCTAAGCAGAGTAGTCTATCATTCAAATACCACTTGTACCATGTACACACACATGTATGGCTCGCTTTTGACATATATTACCTTCTTCCTCTGGCATTTTTAGAGTTTTTTATGGAGTTTTCCAGAGTACAACACAAAATTGTATGGTTAACTGCTGCTCCGTGACGTTCTATGACATCATCTTTTTGGGCTTTTTCAATGAGGACTACCTATCTTCTGAAACTGATTTCTTTTCGACGAAGCAAAATATTAACTCATGATTTGGAATTAGAAGAGATGAAACAATTCTTAATTTGTATAATTTGTAGAATTTTTTTTTTTGTTTTACAGAAGATATGACCTCAGACATTATTTAGTGTCTTGATAGTAAATTACGAAATTTTGACCTGCTCCGTGATCGAATTTTCGCATTTTTTAAGTCTAAAGTCTAAATAAGTTTGAAATAAACCATGATATTTTAAAAATATTTAATTCACATCATTTAAATTTACTGTTGAAATATTTCTTCCAAATTTGGACATATTATGACATTAAAGAGGCTGGGGGGTTGTGGCCATTTTTAGACTATATTGATCTCCTTTAGAAGAAGAGCTCCATATGAAGATATAGAAAATGATCAAATTTTAAAACTAAAATTTTTGAAATTTTTCTTTGCCAAATGATAGTTGACATCTTAAGATATCATATCTAAAAAATTAAGTTAAATCTGGTGGTTAATTTGTGGTTAATTTGTTGACCCCCCAGACTCCTTAAGTAAAGAAGTTATGATGGTAGTCCACGAACTTTTCGAACAACCCTCGTAGATATTACTTCTTTAGTCTGAGAGGCATCTATTTACTAGGCAAAGATATTTAAAATTTGGAAGAAAAACATTGTGTTATTTATCCTATATATATATAAATATATATATATATATATATATATATATATATATATATATATATATATATATATATATATATATATATATTAAAATTTAAAAAAAAAAAAAGGTCCAGGGTTAGTGTTATGATGTATGGACCTTTTGCTCAATTTTTTCAAGCATAATGATCTTACTATATTTTAATTTTATATACACTGAACTAAATTAAATTTGATGAAATCTTGTTTTTATATTTGATCTCTTATCTTTTCAGTAAATTTCTGCAAGGAAACTGATGATAATTTTGGACCTCATCAATTTTTTCCTTCAACAAAACATATCCAGTGTAGACCAAATGCAGTTAGGAGCAGTATTATTAGAGGAGATCCTATGTACAGTATGAGGACAAACAGTCTTGCTTCAGGTATTTAAGATCAAGGTTTCATAATCTATTCAAAGGGCTCTATGCAATTAATACCAGTAAGTTTGTCCATAATCCAGTGATTTGTTTGTCCATCTTTGACCCATTTGGGCTTAACGCTCAAGTGTCACAGTAAAAAAATTACAAAAACATTAATTAAAATTTTTTGGCAAAATGTCAAGGTCAAAACAGGGATTCTCCAGAACCAATGGACCAATTTTAACCAAACTTGCCACAAAGTAATCTTGGGTAAAGGGAATTCAAATTTTTCCTTAAAGAAGAACTACATACCCTTTCAAGGGGGAGATAATTAAGAATGGGTGAAAATTTGGAGGCATAATTAACCAAGTTTCCCAGGGACATCAACGCTCCCCTCGGTAGTTATGGCCCTTAAGTTCTTCATCAGCAGATTTTTCCCCTATAGATAAGATTGTAGTCCCATTCTAACCCTGAGGGTCATAATTTTAACAAACTTGAATAAAACCGTCGCTTTGCTGTTCTTGAGAAGATTTTTCCTGTAAGAATTTGATTGCCCATTGTGCAAGTCGCCCGCATGGCACAGTGGTTAGAGTCTTGGAGTAAGGAGTTGATCCTTACATCGTGGGTTCGAATCCCACTGGGGGACGTAGAGACCAGTCCTTCTGATGAGACCGTATAAACTGAGGTCCAGTGTCGCAGTAGGTGCTGGCATGAAAAAGATCCCTCACTGCTCAATGGCCCTGAGTGCCGAGTATAGGTCAAAATTTGCAGCTCTCCACTGGCAAGTGGTGGCATCTCCATATGAGTGAAAAATTCTCGAGAGGGACATTAAACAATAAACAAACAAACAAACAAAAGGCCATTGTGCAAAAGTTTACTTGGAGATGACCCTTATAGGAGTTTCTTCCGATCCTCATGTAGCAATATAAAAAATGGAGGAGCAGATGAAGGATCTGATTTTAATAAGATTGGCATTTTTCCTAGACGTGCTCAGTTGAGCAATGTAGTTCATGGGCCTCTTGTTAACCTGTTAGTGAGGCATTCACCTCATATTTACATATTTATGCCCTCTTCACATGGAGAGTTTAATTCGCAGTAAATTAATTCGAAGTAAACTAATGCGAATTAAACTAATGCGAATTAGATTGCGTTCACACGAGAGCTACTGCGAAGTAAACTAATGCGAATTAAAATTATATTTCTACAGTAAGACTATTCTGTAAGCCTATTGTGACGTCATTTTCAAATCACGTCACATTGTGCAGAGCAGGTACATTTTACATAATGTCATAATGTCTGTACACATTTTATTGATTAACATAATTTTCTTTGGTTTTCCACTCAAAAATAGCACAAGTTACTATATCTGACCACCGACAAGTGGTCTTTGACTTAATTCTGCCCTTACGCATGCGTCAAAATTTAATTCGAATTAGCTTGGCTTAGCGTTCACACGGAGCTAATGCGAAGTAATTTAATGCGCAGTAAATTAATTCGAATTAAACTAATTCGCATTAAATTCTCTGTGTGAACGCGGTTCAAATTTAATTCGCAGTAACTTACGTTTAATTCGAAATAAACTCTCCGTGTGAACAGGGCATTAGTTTCATGACCAATAGATTGAATAAAGCAGTGGATAGTGCCCTGTGGGTCACATACCTGCCAACTGACCCCCAGTTAACAGTTTGCATCTCCAAAATCATTTCACCCCATTACTGATCACCTCCCCTGGATCATAATTATCTCCCCCAATTTCACCCTACTTAAAATATGAAATATATTTTCCATGACTAAAAAATTCAGACAAATTGTAGATCTCAATTGAGAAATGACACTATCTGTGCTTTGTTGTCTATCAAACAGGATAAAATTCTGATTGATATGAGTACAATCCTTCTAAGAAAATGTTTAAAGAAGGCAAGATGGGAGGCTAAATAACAGGAACCTGAAATAAACTGAAATTACAAAGAGCCAGGGGTGGTAAGCAGGCATATATGCCTGATATTTTTTTGATTTTTAAATAAGTGCCAGTCTTTGTTTACTTTATTTATTCTAATGATTAGATATTCTCATTGTTACTCACAGGTTTGAAATGTCATCAACATTTTTTCTATTAGAGTTATTTTTTCTATTAGAGTTATTCGTCTTTGATTCTGTGTTATTTTCCAGAAATAGCCTTTTTAGCTCACCTGGGCCGAAGGCTCGAGCTTTTCTGATCAAAATTTGTCCATTGTCTGTCGTCGTTGTCTTCGTCGTCGGCGTTGTTGTTGTCGTTGTAAACTTTTCACAATTTCATCTTCTTCTCCAAAACTACTGGGCCAGTTTCAACCAAACTTGGCACAGAGTATCTGTGGGTGAAGGGGATTCAAATTTGTTCAAATGAAGGGCCACGCCCTCTTTGAAGGGGAGATAATAAAGAATTAGTGAAAAATTAATAGCATCTTTTAAAAATCTTCTCAAGAACCACTGGGCCAGGAAAGATGAAACTCATGTGGAAGCATCCTCAGGTAGTGTAGATTCAAGTTTGTTCAAATCATGACCCCTGGGGGTAGGGTGGGGCCACAATGGAGGATCAAAGTTTTACATAGAAATATATAGGAAAAACCTTTCAAAATCTTCTTCTCAAGAATAACAAAGCCATGATTGGTCATATTTATATGGAAGCATCCTCAGGTAGTGTAAATTCAAGTTTGTTCAAATCATGACCCCCTGGGGTAGGGCGGGGCCACAAAGGAGGATCAAAGTTTTACATAAAAATATATAGGAAAAACCTTTAAAAATCTTCTTCTCAGGAACAGCAAAGCCATGATGAGTCATATTTATATGGAAGCATCCTCAGGTAGTGTAGATTCATGTTTGTTCAAATGATGACCCCTGGGATAGGGAGGAGCCACAATAGGGAATCAAATTTTTACAAAGGAATATATGGGAATTTTTTTTTTAAAATAACAAAGCCATTTGTTATATTGGCATGGAAGCATCATCAGGAAGTTTAAAATTCAACCCCCCCCCCCCTCCCCCCCGGGTAATCTTTTCAATACTGGACTGATTTGTGCTTTTGCCAAGCCAATGTGCTCAGGTGAGCGATGTGGCCCATGGGCCTCTTGTTTCCATTATATAGCCACTTTCACAAAAAGAATTAGATGTGGCCGCAAGATTATGAAAAAATCATTTTCTCAAAAAATTATTCTGTTGTTAGAGTGTGGCCACCATAAAAAAATTAAATTACATAGTTTTTCAGTGTACCAATTGTTAGCTTTCGGTTTCATGTTTTACTTTGTGTCAGCAGATGATATGTAAACAAAGATGACTATTTTTTACCCCAAAATTAAGGTTATTATCAACTATTTTGTAATTAAATATTAAAGGTGATGTATAATTGTAATTTTAACTACTGTAAATGTACTTTATTCCAGAAATTAATCCCACATGGAAAAAAAGTATGTCTACAGTATTTCTGAATCCCTAGTAAGGTGTTGAAATTAAAAGTTATTAAAAAAAATCCAGAAATCTGTGATTTTTTAATAATAATAAAAAAAAGACATTTTACCCCAACTTTGAGGTTTTCTTCAATTATTTTGTTAGTAAATGAATTTCATATAAAAGATCATGCATAATTATAATTTTAACTACTTCTAAATACTTGGTGGGAAGCTAAAAATTAATGTTATAAAAAATTTCCAGAAATCTGTGATTTTTTGTTCATTTTTATGTTTTTGCCCCAAAAATAACAAAAATATGACATTTCAAGAAAAAAAAATGAATAAAATGATACAAACAAAGAATGTTTTACACAAAAATTAGTATGCTTTGACATTTGTTTAATATGCTTGGGGCATATTTTGCTTCTTACTGATCCTTGTTCTTTGAAAATGTTTTCTTAAAGGCAGCTTTAAAGCTATGTATGGCGTATCTGACCTTGAAAAATAAATATACGAGATTGAGTGAAAATATACATGATATGCTGTATGTGTACTTAAGAAAGTGGGCTTCATATTTTAACGGCTTTGGTGTGGACAAAAATGCGCTAATTTAATAAATACCGCTAAGAAATCATTTATTAATACAATATACAGCACGTTAGTGTGTAGTGCTAATTCAAAAATACGCCAACAGCTCAATACCTAGTGATTGCGCTAAATTTTGAATATGCCAATTTATGTACACGTACAGTATGTTATTTACATTCAAAATAAAATTTTCACCGATTTTGAGCTTGAATAACCTTGCGTGTCTATAGTTAAATTGACTTTAAATTTGTCAGTTATTTAAATGTGGAGTTGGTTAATAAATTGGTTATTGTTTTAAATTTTTATTATCTTTAAAATGCGATTGATTTAAATTGTGTAATTTACATGAAAGTCCTATCTTTATGTAAAGTTTTAAAACAAATAGAAAGATCTTTTTGATTTTGGTGACCTGAACTTATCAAAAAATATGCCATATATGACTTTAAAATGTTGTAACATATTATGACCCTACATTTAACATCCCAACAATGTCATTTTCAGCTTACTTGTGCTAAAAGTTCAAGTGAGCTTTTCTGATCACATTTTGTCTGTAGTCCATCTGTAAACTTTTCAACTTCTTCTCCAGAACCACTGGGCCAATTTCAACCAAACTTGCAACAAAGCATTCTTGTGTAAACTAAAGGGTATTCAAATTTGTTCAAATGAAGGGCCTTACCCTTTTTCAAGGGGAGGTAACTCAGAAATAGTGAAAATTTGGTGGCATCTTTTAAAAATCTTCTTCTCAAGACCACTGGGCCCAAAAAGTTCAAACTTATAGGAAATCTTCTTTACCTAGAGTAGATTCAAAATTGTTCAAATGTTGACACTGGGGGGCTGGGGGGGGGGGGGGGGTTAGGCCTCAATGGCAGATCAAATTTTTACAAAGGAACATACAAGAGCAAGCTAATTCAGAGAATTTGTGTCCCCTGCTTAGGGAAAAAAGAAGAGCATACCCAGTTCGGGGGGGGGGGGGGGGTCACACTGCCCCCCTGTATTTGTAGAATTATTAAATGT